AGGCACTAAAAAAACTTCCTGTAATCGTGTTCATTGGAAAACAAAACAAATCACTAATAAATTTATGAAAACAGTTCTTTTTTGAATCGATCTAAAAGTACTCGTTTAATTCGCGCACCAAAAACCAATAATTTCCGTTTTTACGCTATTAATTCGTGCACTTGAAAAAATAATTATTTTTACTACCGCAAATTAATCGAGTTTTTACGGTAGCTCTATAAATAAGTGATAGCAGGTAATAACCTTTTTATCACATGACCAACTCCAAGCGTCAAAACTACATAGAAATTGTGATTTTACGCTATTCTACGCTTACAAGTCATGATAATTAGGCATAACATCTAAGCATGTCAGTGGACATGCATTTGTAGTTATGACTGTCGATAGTATTTAAAAACAGCATAAATATATTACTTCATAGGGTTATTATTTTTTTAAATAAACTTTCCGTCGTCATTATGATGAGCTATTGTTATTGCACCATACAAGTAATTTGAGGTTATTCTAGGCAACAACAAAAATCACAAGTTTTTATTCAATATTCTTTGTGAGAATTTCACCTCGTGTTAAAACTAAAATAAGGCTAGACTCAAATGACTCTGCATGAATGTTTTGATGCACAGATTGATTAATAGAGCTTTCGTTACATGGCCGTTATTGGCATTGAAAATGTCTTGGAATTTAATATCATTTCAAATTTACATTTTATTACAAAATGTTTTATTTGCTTGGTTAATCATCAGTTCAGATAATTAATTGCGTAATGTTAATTGGACCATAAAAAGTAGTTCTGATAATTAATTGTGTAATGTTAATGGGACCATAAAAAGTAGTTCAGATAAATCAGTGTTCTGATAATTGTTCAACTGTGTTTTTTTTGTTTTTTATTTCATTTTGTCATTGTTACAGGTGCTCCTACATTATCTAAATTGCTGAATTCACCAAAAACTATCTCATCCTTGTCAATACCAAATACAAATACAGTACATGTGGTTGGTGGAGACTCTGTGAAGCCATCAATTATCGAACCCACTAGTAAAGAAACCAGGAGGAGCATTGAACTTGTCAGTATACCAAGTATAGAAATCCAGGATGAGGCTTCAGTGGACAGTGTGAAAGAGGTAAAAGTGTGCAGGTCTTACGGATTTTACCTGAAGTCTACTAGGCACTTTTAATAATACTTTTTCTGTGCAATCAGTGTCCTGCATTGTATATGTATGTAGTAGTACATGTATTTGATGCTCATAATATTTTTCCTCTATTAGTAGCACATGCACTTATGTAAATAATAAATGCCATATTTGCTCTATTAGTAGCGTGTGAGCTTTTAGAAATTACAGATGTGTTTCTATTGTCAAAATAAGTAATATTTCAATGAATCAGTGTAAAACACATGCAATTCTTGGTTTATATGCTATTCTTTTGGAGATGTGCTGCTAATAGAACAAATGTGATATGTGTTAATGATCAAAATAAGTCGTGATTTAATGAATCTGTTTACAATAAAAGGCAATTAGGGTTGCCACACCAATCTTAAGCCTTAACCTAGCATTGTTGTATTAAGGCCTTAACAAATTCTGAAATGTGAGAGGTTGGACTTTTTCAATTTATGTAGCTCAATGTATCGATGATTGAAAATGAATATTCTGGAGTTTGTTGCTAAAACAGATCTTTAACTTAACAAAAATGGTCTTAATGTCCATACTAATTTCAAGTCTGAAGTTGTTTGAACTGAGGCATGCAAGAATCCTGAGTCTATATGAATGGTTTTCTGGGAGTTAGAAATGCACAAATACTAATTGATCTTGTATGTTGTATGTTTAAATCTTTACTGTCTTCATCAAATATGGGTTGATTATTCAGGGTTGCAAACATTGTAGATGCACAGTCCTAAAGGACTAGTAGATTTAAGACAAAATCCTCCACTTGCAGTTGATGAAAGAAGAGTATCTGTGTACTAATAATTATCATCTTTATATCATCTCTGCAAACAGAATTTACAGAGCATTATCGAAGTCTTTCAGATTAACCATAGCTTCTCGCATGTTTTCTCATACATGACAGGGAAAGCAGTATATATGACCCAGCCACTGTAATTGTAAATACTCAAATGCAAGGTGTCGATTTAGCACTGTTTTTTTTTTTCCTTACATATGTCTCTTCTCAGGAAATCCCTTCTAATCCCCTATCTGATGAAAAGCCTTCTGAATCTACAGAATTGCTTGTTAATGCTGATAGCAGTAGGTCAGTAGATAAATCAGCAAGTGAGACTAGCAAGGAGGCTGCTGTGACCAGTATTAGTGCAGCTAGTGATACTAACAAGGAGTCTGGTATGACAAGGATTGGTGCAGCCGTTGAGACCAGCGTTGGTGCAGCCGTTGAAACAAGTACAACCAGTGTTGGTGCAGCTGTTGAGACCAGTACGACCAGTGCAACCATGGAAACAACTGGCAAGACATTAGAAGTTGATCTGGACAAAATGCTTGCAGAAAATAAGAAACGAGACAACATAGCAGTGTGTGAGCCGGATAAGTGTACAGAGAAGATGATAGACACTCAGGTAGTGGATCTGTTCCACACATACCTACTAATATCATATTACTGTATTGCAGGCTTACATTCACGTAGATGAGCACCGTCATTTATTTGTTATTCTCTATAAGTTACTTAACATCTGTATACTAGTACTGTAAATATTGCTTCAATTTCATGAATTTCACGTGATAGAAACAATCATGAAATTTTGTTTTAGTGAACCTTTCATTGCGATCATTAAGATAGTCACAATGGTTTTCACCAAAATGTGTTCCTGTAAATGCTTTTAAATCATCAAACCATGAATATTTATACCAGCGAAGATATTATTTTTCTACATAGACTTTCTAAACAACCTGAAAGCCACATTTGATTTTGTTAATACAGGTAAATTAATAGCTCTCACTGAAAAACCTTTGTCAGGTTTTAGCAGGATTTCTGTAGTGACATGCATGTCATGATCTCCAACTGTCAAGAATGTATGCTTATTGCTGTAATTACATTTCGGTCATTTTGTAGAACAGGTCTTGATTTTCAAATTGCTACCTCATATTACTCAACAGTGAATCACATTTATTCTGTTGTGGTATTGCAAAAATTACCAGTATATTTCAAGGATAGTACTTGATAAAGCATTCCTGTCATTTTATAATCTGGATTTTAATAATAATTCAGGATAGCAAAAAGTAACTATCAGTTACCTGTCACCATGAAATATTTGAGATATGAGATGTCTCAGGAAACCAATAATAAGAAGATTCCAAACTGACATATTGGCTGCCAGCATTGTATTCAGGCCATGCCTTTTAAAAAGGCTGGACAGTGAAAAATATTTTTGCATGTGTAAAATTAAAAACAAAAAAATTAGCTCTCCTGGGAGAAATTTGATTGGTCTCCTTAATAGAAAAGGTCTGGTATTTACACATTAAACATTATTTTGAAAAATAGCATGGTGATTCCAAACTTATAATAATAACTCATAATATAACGTTTTGTAAACATAAGGTGGTTTGACAGGATAACTAAACAAGAAAAAATTGCTGCTATCATTTAATTTCCTGTAAAATGTTTACTCTAACAAAATGTTGTGATTTTCCAAGAATCATGGAATTAGCTGACATTAGTGTCTCTCAAATTTAAACCGCTGACAGTATTTTATGTAGTGAAGCCCTTCATTCATTGACCATGACCTTGTTACTGCTGTTTCACCACTTATGTGAATAATGAGAACATACAAGAATGTTAATTGTAATATATGGTGATTAGTGATGTCACTATTCTTTTGTTTTCAAAACAGTTAGTTAATGGGCAGTACAAAGGCCACTTCTTCGGATATGCAGAGCTTCATTAATAAATTACTATAAATTTAAATTCATTAAAATGTTTTTTTTCAGAGGAATTCCACATGATCACAAATTATATAAAGAACATTTCAATTTGTTTTCATTATTACAGGTATATTCATCTTCATAGACAGAATCACAGTTCTTATAGTAATAACATTCATCATAAGTAATTGTTGGCTGTCCATCACATGATATCTCAATATACATGCTGGCAACGTGGAACGGCATTATCATATTTCTTTGAATAATTCTTATTTCATCAACAGTTTCTATTTTCATGTACAGTCAAAACCTGTGTATAGTGACTACCAGAGGTACCCTTCATATAGACAGGGTCTTGATATGGAGGTTGATTATTTGATTGCATGGATACAAATATGAAAATAATTTTACAGTTTAAGAGACAATTTATGCTTGTTTGTCTTGATTAAATTAAAAATTTCAGTGTAAAGACTAGTGTAAAACACTGAACACATCATCGTCCTTGATTAATTTGGTCTTTATTGCATAGGTTCATTTGACCACATCAAAATGGTTGCCACTGATTGCTTTAGGTGGCCTTTATTCACAGGTAACTTTATATGTACATGTAAATTGTATACAGGTGGCCTTTTTAGTCTTTATTTGCACACAATAGATTGACGTCCCGGTGTCCATCCCGATTCAAGGTTGTCGAATGCTTTTTTATGCTAAAAATTTATCAAAGTCAATGATTTTCATGATTACCAAAATCTCAGTCATGATTAGGTGCATGTCATTTTTTTGGCAGGTCTGATTCAAAATGGCTGATTGGTGGCCATTTAGGTTTAATGACTGCTGTTCAAGGACTGTAACTATGACATGGTCGGACTGATCACAGTCACACAAATAAACTGGCTCATAACAGATGATAAAGACATAAAGGTTTGATATCTGCTGATGTACGAGCTGTAACACTACTCTACTGATGTGTAATCTACCATCATACTAACCACACCAAATTTGCTTTCTTCTGCAATTTCTTTAAATTGTTTTTAGCTCCGCTGTCGACTTTGTTGAGCGGAGATTATCATATGAGTGATTGTCCGTCGTCGTCCGTGTCAATGTTTTACTTTTTCGACTTCTTCTTGAAAACTACAAGCCTGAATGCTTTGATACTTGGTGTATATGTACCTTGGGTAGACCTCTCTCAGATTTGTTTATTTCATTATGATATCTTCAATTCTCTAATTTTGGTGAATATTTTTGTAATTTTTGGTAAAAAGTGATATTTTCGACTTCTTGTTAAAAACCGCAAGTCCAATTCCTTCGATATTACATATATAGGTACTACATGTGTATCTCTCTCAGATTTGTTCATTTTGTAATGATATCGTCGAATTCTCTAATTTTGGTGAATATTTTTGTCATTTTTGGTAAAAAGTGA